GCTCAGGCCAAGCCATTTGGCACTCGCAGCGTGCAAGGAGCGTTTGGAGCTAAAGCTGTTACGGCTTCCTAGAAATGGAACAAACGGAGGGGAGGAGCGGGCAGGGAGAGACGGGACATCAGCACTGCGCTGGAAAATGAGCTGGACCGGGTGAGGAAGCGCTGCACGGATTTCATTCACAGCACAAGTACTCAACATGTTTAAACATCAGTTTCTGATGTTTCTGTTTAGCACACAACAAAACAGCCCACTCCTACATCGGTTTCAAGCCGAGAGCAAGATCTCAAGCAGCATTCCTTAAAGCAGCAGCATTTCATTAAACTGTGCAACTACTCAAGCCACTGTTTACCAGGTGGTACAGCTAATTCATCAGTGGACCCCTACAGAAAGGCTATTTATCAATTCTAGAATAACTAAATTCTCACCAATTCTTCTTTTCATTGTTCAGGTACTTACATTTGTTACCTTAAACCAACTATAAATCCACTTGAAATTACAAATTGAATAATAAATTAGGTCAAACTTCAAAATGTTACGATTAATCGATTCAGTAATGCAGTTTGCTTATCACTTTATGTCCACAGCCAGGTCCAATATTTGTGAGAGTGATCTCAGCCCTGCAGCTCTTTCCTTTAGCTCTTCTGGTGGCACTGGAGATGGATCAAGTCTTTCATTGCTGCAGATCCTCTGTGTGTATGGTTTACAGGAGATCTTAATGAACTGTGCATACACAAAAAAAATAATTAGCTTTTTCCCTTTTTAAAAAATTATTTTTACATTAAAGATTTGGTTCTGCCCATCCAGTGATCCTCAAACATACAGGTGAGCAGATACTGACAACCTGAAGCTGTAGCTGAAATTTAGTTCCAGATTTCCTTCAATTTCCCAGTCCAGGTTTCTTGTCACTGCCCTGACCACAGTGGAGGCTTTTTTGGCTGAACCAGCTGTCAATGCTCTTTTTCACTCCAGGACAAGAGAGATGGAGCTGCTGGAGAGTCCCCACTGACAGCCAAGGTAGTTTGGAGCACCTGGCATGAGGGTAGAGCTGAGTCTGCTTAGCCCAGAGAAGAAAAGGCTCAAGGAAATCTGAAGGGAACTATAAGAGACATCTTCACAGTGTTGGCCAGTGACAGCAGAAGAGGCAGTGAGGGCACAATCACAGGAGGTCCCACCTCAACATAAAGGAAAAGTTATGGGGTCTCTGCCTTTGCTATTTATATTGGGCAAAAGGTCCCCCTCACATAATTTCTACAGTCAGCTCAACTTTCAGATTCTCTCTTCTGTCTGCCCTCCAGCACACGAGCAGATCCACTCTCTTAGACAGAAATGTTACCACTCCAGTGTGGTACAAAAGCCCCAGATATTCTATCAGGACTTCTAGTTCAGTGTTCATGAAATGTTTACTTGCTCCTGCCCAGACTGGGGCCCAGGACAGATTGAGTGCAGAAATCAGAAATGCAGCAAGCAGCTTAACAATATCCACCTTGTTCCTGCAAACAGCCAAGGAAGTCACAACGAACATAACACAAAAGCACAGAGACCCCAGAATTTTATTTAAAGAAACATGTTCAAATGCAGCATTGAAAACAGAAAGAGTGGAATGCCAAGAGTCAGAGAACTTATGCTGAGTTATGTTTTCTTTGACAAACTAGCACCATTAAATCACAACTCACAGACTAATTTATTTCTAGAAGTTACAAAACCTCCATCATTATAAAATTTCTAGGAATTCTATTAAAAATTGGTTCTCAATTTACTACTCCTACAGAGATGAAAGCAGTCTGAAGTTTTCATATCTACTCATTGTTCAAATTACCCATAAGAGACAGTTTATTCTTAAGTCTAAACATCCTGATCAAGGGAAAAAAAATGTCTAAAAAGTGACCTCCACAAGTCTTTACAAACTAAACAAGTAAGAAAGATCTACTGTGTTATAAATATACACAGTACAATATGTACAAGTCTGGTCTTACAAAATAAGAGCTTACTAGTCCATAAAAATACTAACTCAACTACAAAGTTTTCTCAGTACTTAGTCAAGCTGTCTCAAGCAGTCACCATAGCAAATTCCTAAAATACTGATTTGTACCATAGCACAACAGCTTGAACGTGTTCACAATGGGAAAGAGCCCAATACTTCACCATAAAACTCATTTCTAAGCCTAATTTCCCACTCAGGTTTAGTGGTACTGTTAGTGTTTGCAACCTATTTTAATGTCACAAGGCCTTCACATGTTTCTAGACTGTGTTTGAACTATTCAAAGTGCTGAAAGTGCAATCAGAGAGTAGAGTTTTGTATCCCTTCTCCAGTACACCCTTCTCTGGCACTGGCAACAACAGCCAAGGGTTTCTAGGTCTGTGAGGTGCAGAAGGCACACACTCATTTGTACATGCTCAGGAAGTATTCACACACACACACACATGCACTTTGCTTTAAGGACCATAATATTCTAATATTATGGCTTCCTCTGAGTAAAGAAATTCAAAAATTCCTTTAAAATGCCTTAATGCAGACACCTGGAATTCATAATGACCCTGACATGAAGTGCTTAAAATGACTGAGATGGTGTTAGAAAAAAATGGAGTTTTGGCTTTAAACTCAGGCTATCCAAGTATTGCTCTGGAACAGAGAAACACAAAGTCTGTGCTCTCTCACTCTATCAAGCAAGGGCCAGGTCACATTCACCACATGGTTTATCACAACAGTTAACAGCATTTGTGAGTGTACACACACACATAACCCTTGACATTTGTTCTACTGAAGGCCATCTGCAGCCTGAATGAAAATAAAACTATTTGAAATATGTTTCAAGCATTAGCCTTCTGTACTTACACATGAAAATACAAGAAGTAAGAAAACTGAACTGTGCCTCTGCCAGAAAACAAATCACTGACATAAGTTAACACTGCCTCCTTTCCTCCTCCCTTCTCTACAGTGCTCTCCTATGACATGCATCATAGTAGCTTGTACTGTTAAAAATTAAGAACATATCCCTCTTGACAAAGTTGACAAGTTTTTCTAGTGGGCACATTGGCTTGCTGGAACGTTTATAATGATCCCTGCAAAAGGAGGTCTGGAATGTGACATCAGCACCGTTGTACAGGATGCGGATAAAGTGTTCTTTGGGCCTCTTCCCATCCTGCCACAGCTCAAAAACTAATCTGGCAGCAAATCTGGGAAATCTGGCCTCTGTAATGCCCAAGGCACTAAGAACTGGTGACAAGGTGACATCATGTGCAGAGTAGAGGACAAACACTTCCTCCTTCTTGCCCTCTGCAATACGCTGCAGCCTATTGACAGTCTGGTTGAGGAGAGGATGAGTAGCCAACAGTGCATACAAGAAGTAAAGTTTCTTTTCCTGTCTTTCTCTCTCGTCCTCCAACTGGTGTCTCTTGATTACTTTGAAGTGTTCCATACCAATGCAGCCAGCTTTGGTACATGGAAATGAGACATTATGACAGAAATAGCACAAGAGAGAATCTATAGGGTTAGAAGCTCTCAGCTGCCTGGTGGGAATGCCCACAATCTTTGCCATATCCACGTAGATCTTCTCCAAATTGCTGTTTTTCACCCGTAAGCTGTACTGCCTGCGCTGCTCCTCCTCCAGGTAGTGGTTTCTCATGGGACAGTCACAGCTTCCTGAGCAGAAAATGGTGCTCCACTGGTGCCTCATGTTAATTTTCTTCCAGTCAAAATCTGGCAGGAAGGTGTAGAGCAGGGCCAGCGCGCTCTGCAGGGTCCGGCTCTTGCCCGTGGTCTCCAGGTAGAGCTGCTTGGCTGTCCAGTCACTGGGGAGCAGTCTGTGTTTGTTGATGTAAATCTCTCTGAGCAGCTGTCCATTTCGCAGGTGTTGTACAACCCCTGCATTGTGACAGAAATTACAACACGTGATTAGAATCTTTGCAGTTATGCAAAAAAAAAGTTACAGCTAGTAGCCTTACTGATAAACTTACAAAACTGAACTGCACTTATGATGACTGTAAAGAAAAGTGCCTGAAACATGAGAAACTTGCTATTCTTCAGTATCTCTCATATTCTAGGAACTAGCCTGATCTAAAGAAAAGAAGTTGGTTCCATAAAGTTTGTTTATAACCTCAGTGGTTTAATATTAACTCTTTGGACTAAGACAGACTGAATGGGTCTAACATGACTAAAAGTAAGGTGTTTTTGAAGACTGCACCTCAGTCAGGTTTTCAGGCCTGCAGAGAATGCTGCGCCCCTGAAAATTTATGGCAGCCAATAAAACCACCAGCAGTCAGGACACAAATACACAAAATGTAAATTAGTATGTAAACTCAGAAAACAATCATGAGGCGTAGCAATTGCATCCAGCTTCCTTGTCCATCTTCCTTCAGGGAGTATTTAAATTGCTTGATAATTTATGCTAAAGCTCTGCCTTTATCCAGCTGGAGACTGTATCCTTTTCATGTGCCTAGACCTCTACTCCAGAATCCATATTTCTTGCACAGCAGCAAAGCAATGGGCCTGAAGCCTTTATGCTCTACAACACCTCTGTATACCTTGCTGAAAAAGCCACAGGAGTCCCCAGATGCCAGCTCAGTGACACAATCCATGTGTCTGTGCAATTTCAGTGGTGTCCTGCCTTGCTTTCTCCTGATATCACTTTGCAAGACTTGATAGTGGCCAAGGATTCCTTCCAAAGGGATCCCACAAGAATTTGGGAGGCGCCAGATGTATAAAGCATTTCCATAACACCAGGTTTGGCTGCTACATCAGCATCTCTTGTAGGGGACACAGGGCCCCTTTGAATCCCCGCCCTGTCAGTAACAGAGCACCAGATCTTCCTCAGGAGGGACTGAGCAGTGCTGTTTGTCACAAGGGTCACAGAGCAGCTCTGAGGTGTGAAGCAACATGAAAGAAAGGTGCTCTGACTTGCTACAAAGGAATTTAAATGGGATGCCAAGATTGACCAGTGTGTAACAGGATTGTCAAGCCATAGGACAAAGCATGGTTTCTGCAACTGTTGCCACTTTCACAGTTGAGTTACACATCCCAGCATAGCTGATGATATGACCAACATGATAAAATGGCATAAAAAAGCATTTATGTCAATATAAAGAGAATCAGAAGGTCCCTTCTCAAGCAGACTGTGTTCAACAGAGCAGAGGATGAGACAGAGCTGCTGGGGAACTCACCTGTCTGTGTAAGCTCTCCCATTTCACACAGGGAATGGCTGGGGAAGTGAGGCAGGCTGCTCAGAGAACCATCCATTTGGGCTGCAGACCCTTTGGACATATGCTTAATGAAGGCTTCAAGCTGAGGATGAGAAGGTTTCCTAGAGAGATAAAAAACAAAATGTGAAACTTCCAAAAGCATATGGGAAAGCAGTTCAAGAGAGTCAAGTATTCCAAGTATGTCAGATCAGAAGTTTTGTGATGTGAAGTTATTTCCCACTGGGACAACATCTGCTCTTACTCAGGACTTTTGCAAGTATGGAAAAGAAACCTAACTACTTACTATCTGCCAAAGAACTACAAAGAACTGTGTCTTGTCACGTTAAAATTATGATATCTTCCACTTAAGTATTTTAGAGCAATTTCTGGGGGTTGCTTTGAATTCAGTTACTAATACTGTTATGTATTCAAATGAAAAAGAAAATATATTTAAAAATCCTTAAAAAAACCCTCCAAACCTCTCTCGTTTCTGAAGTACCAACACCCTCTAACAGCACAGCCAAAGCCAGTTACACTCTAAAGGGGTTCAATGCAGTACTTTAGGATGATTTTGAAGGAATTCTCAGATATTTTAATGCACAATGCTGACCACAATCTCAGCTTTTATTTCTACTTCCTTCAGCCTCAAATCAAATAGCACATGTAGCCTTGATTACGTGGAACTGGAAAGCAGTACCCAGTGTCCCCATTAAAACTGGAATCATTGTTTAGGGTATTGCACTTTTATCCAGGAAGAGGCCAACACTCCTGGACACACACACAAGTAAGATACTCTGCCATGGAAGTAATGAATGCAGCTGGAAGAGATATTCACTAAAATATCCAAGTTAACTCACTGAAACAGAGCTCAAGTCAGTGAAAGAATGCTTAAATCTTCCCCCATTGTACTGGAAATTTCAAATACACCACGGATTCAGCTCACTGTGGTACTGCTGCACAGAAAGCTACAGGTACAAAAAATCCCACAATGTAACCCAAAGGTAACCTGAACCTTTAAAAAATAAATCTGTGATCACATTCCTTCAGCAGAAATGCATTACACAAGTGGGGACTTCCTTGTTAAATGTCAGCAATTACCAAAGGTTACAGTCACCTCTCTAATTTTGTGCAGAACTGCATCAGAAACTGCTTGGCAACCCAACTCTGCTCCAGATGGTTCTTGTCTTAATAGGATGTTCAGTTTGAACACAGTTACTTTAAAGTTGCTTAAAAATATATATATAAAATACATTTTGTAAGGGATCTCTTAAATAACCGGGATTTGTGTTTACTGCTCATATTTACATTTGTTAGAAGGATAAACTATTTTGGATATAAAAACCTCGGGTCTCAAAAAGAAACCTGATTTGCATGAAACACCAGAGGGAGCAGTAGCACCACTAAAGCAGGAATGAGAGTCTGGAATAGAAGTTTGCTGGGACAAAGACATCCATGCTTACTGAGAAGAGCCAACTGAGAAACTCTCACACATGAGGGGACCTCTTGCAGAGCTCTGCTCACAGCCTGCACATACAGGAGGGCTCATAAGAATCAGTGTCTGTCAACATAAAAGCAGCTCGTATCATTTTATAAAACTTGAATTTCCCTGTATTTAATTTCTTTTCAGGAAAAAAGAAATCCTGGCAGGAAAATGTTACTATTATGCCACAACTGCCAGTAAGAAAAAAATGCAAAATGAGACAAAAAGCATAATGAGATTAAAAATCAGACTAATTTTTGCATTTTACTTCAAATTAAAGGATAACCAGCCAATTAATGATATTCTAAATCCACAGCTTCTTCTGTATATCGTAACTTTAACAGGGCAACTGAAGATCAGTATTTGCAAAGCAGAGAAAGAACAAAGCCTGATTTTTGTTTCTCAAGCAGTGGAAGCTTCCTGTGTTACAATCATACATTAGAAGCTTACTCCAGCTCTAGATGAACATTTCCAACAGAACATTTTGTACATTGCACTATTTTCACAGCCCAGCAGTGAAATCTAAAAATGGAAGAATTAAGTTGAGAAAACTAAATTACACCCATTAGCAAATGGCTTTTTAAGCTTATTACAGAGGGAGCAGGCTGAACCACCAATTTTCTAAATTTTGAACTTTGCAAAACTCTACACATTAATAAATTGACAATCAAAATTTTCCTTAAACTCTGTTCATTTAATTAATAAGTTCTGTAAATACATGTGAAAGAAAACTAACAGAACTGCTTTATCCATCCTGCTTCTTTTGCTGCTTTGCTTAGAAAAGCCTGAAAGAATTCTAATGGAATCAAATCTGTGCTGATAAAACTGCCTGCAATCACTTGTGGGAAGAAAGAAAGGGAAGAAGAAAGAAAAGTATTTATCTGTACTTTGCAAAAGGATTTTTCTGAAAAAATGGCAGGCAAAATAAATTAACTTTTAAGATAAAATTACAAAAGGGATTATAATTGATGATTTTATATTCCAGTGTATTAATAGGGTGTATTAATAATATTAGACATGGAGATGCAAGTTACTTAACTTTGGATTACAATGGATTTAAAGTAAGCACAAGATAAGCCCAAGCCTGCAGAAGTGCATTATGAAATATATGAAATATGACTTTTGGACATCTTTTTGAATAGAAATTCAAAGCTTACTCCTTGTTAAACAGACATCCCTGCACAACTGGGCAAACAAACATCTATTTTTCTCAGCAGCAAGACTTGCAGCAGCACTCAAGCTCCCAGCTGACAAAGCATTCCCCCTCCCACCCCAGGACTTGGCTTTTATTTAGAATATGAATCCTCCTGTTGAATTGGCCAATTTACAGATGCTGCAGGAGATGGAGTATCCAGGCAACACGGCTGAGGCTGCTGGGGCTGCTGGAGCAGGAAGCAAAGGAAATTGCTCCGTTGTACAGCTGAAAAGACTGAATTATCCTCAAAATTTTATTTCCATAAGAGTAATCAGAAAACAAAAATGAACTAAAGAGATATCCTTCTGTAATTTTCCTGGCCTTGCAATGGCAAGCTACCACATTTGCAAAAGGTAGAAGTATAAAAAAATATTTCAAATTTTGTCAGAAAATGGAACAGCTTTTCATTTAAACCCACTAACAGCAGCCACACTTCCCAATTTTAGCATTTTGTTCCCTTATTTAAAATCTGTTCATTTGCCTTCTAATAATTTTATTTGTGTACAATAGAATAAATTTTATCTGTAACAAAACTGAGGATGCATCTTTTCCCTCAAATAATCAATTCAGTTGATCCTTTTGTAATTTACAACCTAAGCACTGGGATAATAGATCCCAGATTGAATACTCTGGTTTTCATGCACTAGCATTAAAATGGACCAACATTTAAACCCTTAATCAACACTTAAATATCATATTTGCAAAGGTCTTAAAAGGCTTTAATATCACCTTTTATTGCTACCCTGTTACCAGTGTACAAGGGAAGAACTATTGCATGACTATTTGAACTATATTATGTATTTCTGCCAGGAACAGAGCTGGCATCCTTCAATAAAATTTCCTTTTTCCTTGAGGAGTTAATACAAAAATGCATGGCAAAAGCTGAGAGGAGCAAGCTTCTCACAAGGAGTTGCAGAGCCCTCAGTGCATCACTCTGTGAGTAAACATGACCCCACCAGGCTTCAGACACACAAACATGACTTTTCTGTAATCACAGAATATAAGATTCTGCCTGCAAACTATCCCAAGAGTGAATCCTTTTCTCTTTACTTAAAATGCAAAAAAATAATTTTAGAACTTCAAGCAAAAAAACCATGTGTTTTCTGTGAAGTTCAAGTAGGCAAAAGAAGTGTGAGATCAAAGGAGTACTACAGTGTGTGCTTTTCACAAAACAAATGAATGAGGAAAGCCACTACACCCAACAATAGATCAGTGTAGTCCACAGAAGAGATCCTAAGGCAGCAGAAGTACAGTTGGGGATTATTTATTCATAAAGGTCTCACAGCTTGTACACTTCTATACCAACTCCTCAGCGCTCCCCTGGCAGGGGAATGAGAGGGTCTGTGAGGTCCCTTCCAGCCCAAGCCATTCCATGGCTCTGGAATCCCATCTCCTCCACTGCTGTCTGACTCTTTAAAGCCAGCAGAGGCCTCAGGAGACCTTTCTTCACCTGACTCTGGTCTGGGTCCCACTCTGAGCTCACTCCAAGTCAGATCCACACTCCCTTCACCTCACAGGATGATACTTGTCTCATCTCCCCGCTCCCAGCTTGTTTCTGTGCAGCTTCAAAACATGTGCATATTGAACCTAAAATTTCAGTATTTGTTACTAAGCTTCTTATGATTACCATCAACACCTCTCAAAATGTCTTCAAGTATATGCTAATTAACCCAGCTTACTATCAAATTACAGCAGTCTTCTGAAATCATTTTAGCATCTTCCAAAAAGCGTTTCTTCTCTCTCACATACAAACTCAGCGAAGAAACACTGCATACTTTTTACTTCTGACACTATAAATGTGAGCTACATAAGGAAAAAAATGTGTGGGATTAATTTCTTTCCCCCATAAGCAAATACTACAATGAACAAATTTTCATAATATCATTCAAGTAGTTTTCTTGAGGAAAAAAAAATGCATTATTTTGTTCCCTTTGGAAATTTGCATCCAGAACAATAAAAATTATAACAATAATATTAATTGAAGTTTTAGATGGAAGAAATCTCCAAAGCATTTAATCCATTTGCTTATATTCATCCCACACTTATATGTCACAATCCATAATTCACAAAACCCAAGCGTGACCTCAAGGCTATTTTGCATATCCATTAGAAGTCCAGGGGGCTGTGGCATAATCTGCTTAATTAATGAATTCCATCAGCTGAATGCCAAGTCAAATAAAGAGCAGCCTGCATATGAGCAGCTTGCTTATCTGATGTTGTAAGTCCAGAAAGCTTAAACAAGCCAGACTCTCCATCAGACATCTCAGCTCAACTGTACAGCAGCAAGAAAGCCTCAGTTCAAAGGCAGTGATAACAGACCCTGTCACACTCCCCATATAAACACATTTACAATCAAGCTCCAAATTTACATCACAAAGGAATATAAGCCTGACAGGCAAACACAGCAAATAACTTCCTGATGCTGAAGTAATGAATGTTCCACTCAAAACAATGGCTTCATTCTAGCTTTATTCAGTAAGGTCAGCTTTAACACATCTGGACAGAATGGTGCAGAGCCAACTCCTTTCATCTTTCTGCTGCCCTAAATTAGGAGAGGAGATGCTCTTTTATGCAAACTTTGTTCTTGAGGAGACAAGGTCTTTCAGTGGCTGTGAGTGGTAAGGGATGTGTCATTTACACAGTGATGCTCTAATGCTCACAAATCAGTGAGAGCCACAGGTGCTCCCCTCTGGCCTCCCCAGAGCCTGGCTGTGCCCTCTCAACTGCTCCACTTGGTCATTCTGTGTCAAAGCCACACTGATCCTTGCCTTTTATGGATAGTTTTTCTGACTCCAGGGCCTTGAATGTTGTACTCCTTGCCTGAAACTGAACTGGAAACAGCTATAAAAGCTTTTCTGACAAATACAAAACTGAGGTCTCATGTGGCACACTAATATTGAGAAACACAGCTACTCATCTAACACTGTCACTTGCTGTTAACATCTTTTCAATAAAGCTTTCTCACATACATTCTAACATGACAGATATTAAGAAAGATCAGAAGATCAGAGCCTTTAGGAATCTGGATCATATTTCTCTACTTAGTATTTCATGCTGAAAATAATCTCACCCCTTACAGGCAGGTCATTAAAAATGTTATCATAGCTATTAGCAAACAATTCATTTTCCATCTTCTTAGAAAAATTAATTTTTTATTAAAACAACTCCCACTCCACTCTCTGGCAGAGATAACTGAAGTTTGGTCTCCTCTCTGCAGCCTCAGGAATGCACATCTCATTTCAGGCAGCTACTCAGTTTGCAGTAGGCACTGAGAGCTTCTGGGGTTAGGGACCTCTCAAGAACATCCAACTTCTCCTGAAGGATGTTGGACCAGACCCCTGGATGACACCTCTTGACAAAACAGGCATTTTGGTGGAAGCTGAAGTGTGAGCACAGAACAGCAGCAGCCAGTGTCTGGCCTGTTGGGCTGCCAGTGCACACTCCTGGCTCCTGCCCAGTTTTTCATCCACCCCCAGCTCCTCTGCAGGGTTCTTCTCAGAGACCCCTCCCAGTCTGTACCCATGTCTGGGATTGCCCTGAGCCAGGTGAACCTCTTGAACTTCTTGACCCATTCGAGTTTCTCATGGATCCGCTTCTCAAGCTGGACACAAATTTCTTGTCACTGCAAACTGGCTGAGTGTGCACTCAATTCCACTGCCCGTGTTGGTAATGAGGGGATTGAAGAGCACAGGTCCCAGAGCCCTGAGGGACACCACTCACCAAGGGCTTCCATGGACACAGAGATACGGAGCACCTCTGCAGCCATTCAGGAGCAGTCCACCCTTCCAATCCACATGTCTCCAGCTGGAGTTCAGGATGCCACGAGGGACCACCCTGAAAGCCTTGCAGCACTCCAGGCAGACAACACTGGTCACTCTTCCCTTGACCGCTGTCCCAGTCACCCCATCACAGAAGGCCACCAGACTGGTCAGGCACATTTGCCCTGAGTAAAGCTGTGCTGGCTGTCCTGGATCATTGCTTTGTCTTGCACTTGCCTAAAAATTCCTTCCATGAAGATCTGCTCCATGATCTCCCAGGCATCAAGGTGAAATGTACTTTCAGTGTGGCATTAACACCTCCAGCACAACAGAGTAAAGCCTCTTGTGAGTCAAGAAATCATGTTCTTGCTTTTCTGGTGTGGAATCAAAGACAGAGGAGATTCCATGCCATTCTCAAAAGGTATTTATGGTCCATCTACACTGCTTTGTGTACCTACTGTGCCTCTTTTCCTGAGTAATGGATGAAAGAACACAACACACAGCCCTTAGCCATTGAAATCTCCACAACTTGACACTGCTGAGGGGACAGCAGCATGAAGGGGTAGATTTGCCCAGAGCTTTTGCTAACATATCTTGGAATTTTAATTCTAATTTTAAGTATTCAATAGGTTCACTGGTAAGTCCTCTGCTGAAAAATCACTGTCATCATCCTACTTAAAAGTACTTACATGTAATCAAACAAGCCATGGCAAAGGTTGGGAAATGTCATCATCACTGGCCTTTTCTACTGCTGTACACTATAATTCACCTGTATCAGTGAGTAGAATGTAAACAAAAAAGGAAGGTTCTCCCACAAAGAGCCATTCAGATCAGATCTGCAGCTCAAAGTGATTCAGGTGTGAAAACAGTTTTCAGCAATCTACAAAGACATGATGTTAGACAAAAGCACTATACTGAAACAGAAAGGAAAACGATGTTTTAGTGGCAGTTAGACATAAATAACTAACTTGTGACAGATCTAAACAGAGAGAGGTAACTACAGGAAAGGGGGAGTTGTCAAGCAGCAAACAGTAGCACTTTCTATTAACTTGTATTTTAATAGTTAAATGTACAACTCCCATTTTTTCCTGAATTCTGACACAAATTATTAAGGGAAAATTCTGACAGCCTGTATTTCTGAAGAGTAAAAGAAAAAAAAATATATAAATATGGATAAATAAATACAAATATCTTACGGTAGTGCTGAACTGCCTGAGAGCTTTTTGTATTCAGATGAAGAGAAGCGTGAAGGGAAGTGATCATCTCAAACAATGCACTTACATTTTGAAAATGTAGAAACTTATCTAAAAGGAATGGTAACTTAAATATGCAACTAAATAGCTTTTGCTTTTTAAAGAAATATGAAGAACTTATTCTGGTCTGAACTGGTAACACACAATAGCTTTTGTTTCAAAGAAAAAACTGTGTACCACTGATCCAAGGGCAGGTTTTTTAAACCATGGCAATACACAATGGGCAGAAGTCACAGTGTACTTCAGGCTGCACAAATTGTTTCTTGAAGAGGAAAAAAATTATTCTCAAGCAAAAAAAGAGCTTAGCAAAGACAACCTCCAAGAATTTTACCTGCTGGGCACCAACATGCAGTCGATGTCAGGTCTCTTTGTCTTGGGAATGGCATACAGAGGGTACCTATCACCATGTCGAATCAGCACTTGAACTGACACCAGCTTAAAATAATGAGGGGCATGACCTGCAGTGAAGAAAGGGAAAACAAGAAAAAAAATTACCTATATCTACTTTCTTTAATACAAAAAAAAAAAGTAGCTATCATTAGCTTGACAGCATTGGTATTGAAATGAAAGAAAACACCCCTAGGAAATTACAATTTACCAATACAAGCAAGATTTTACTTCAGATTGCAAGACAAGTTATACAAAACTGAGGCTCCTAGCATATCTCCACAGTACATCTGAAGTCCACCAACCACACAAAACACTACTCAAGCACTGAACTCGGTCAACACAATAAGGTTATTCCACCTTCATAATGCCTCTCTTCAGGTCCCCATCATAATGATGGATTTTGCAGCATGTCTAATCCGGATCTTTCTGACATACTGGTTTGTGATTTATTTGATAACCATTAGTAGGATATGCTAATGAAGGGCTGCATTCAAACTTGCTGCAGCTGCTGTGGAGTAAAGAATGCAAATATGCCTTCTAGCTGACCATGTCTAATGGCTTGTAATTCCAAAATTAATTACTTCTGTGGGGTTTTTCTTCCTGGATTCCAAGTCAACTGTTTGAAATGCAGCTGATATGTAACAAGAATTACAATTTAAATATTAAATATCTGTACTCCTCCTAACCCTTTCGGTTTTAGACCTAGAGCTGACTAGTGGCTGGACAGAACAATTTCCAAAAATCAAGACGGAAGGGGAAGGGGAAGGGGAAGGGGAAGGGGAAGGGGAGCAGCAGGTTTTGGATGATTTAATGTAACTCAGTGACCAGCTGGCATTTGCTCCACCTTCTCCAGGCGGCAATGAGCTGACAGCGCACAGAGCTCTCATTTCCAATAGCAGCACAAAGGAACAAGCAGCTGAGCTGAGGTGTGCCCTGCCCAGCCCAGCTCACCTTCCATGCTGCGCTCGGCGATGCTGGGAATGTTGCAGTACACCTGAGCTTCATACACGGGGTCTATGGCAGGGGGCTCCGTCAGCAGATCAGGCATTATTCTCTTCCTGCTCTTGGGATTCAACCCATCCTCCCTCACAGGGTTTACTGGGATTAAATGCACTGAAAGATACAAAACATACACTGTACATCTTCAAGAGACTTTAGGGACATAAAGGATTATGACTTTTTTATCACTATTTTTAAGTAATCATGCACAAGGTTTATGGTTTCATGAAAGGATGTCTCTCAACAGTATGCAACAACTTCACTGTGATTTTTTTTCCCCTTATTTCCATAGCCCAGAAAAGCTCTTTGTCTAAGTCAATGCTTGGCTAAAACTTCAGGAGTAGACCCAGCTGTAGAACAACTCTGAGTTTTGCACTCTTCTTGAAGCTGCTTTTTCTCTCAGTGTCTCAGCATGAATCACAGAAAAAGTGCCACAATAGGTCTGGCTGTCCCTCATCATTTTTATTTCAAAACTGACATTGAAGGACATCAGCAAAAGACACAGCACAGCTATGATGAGGGCAGTACAAACCACTGGGAAAACAAAGTAGTCAAGATTGAAGGACTGGATTATTCATCATTTTCCTCACTAATCCCTGTCCTTACATTGCCACCTTGTCAACCTTAAACAGTCTGGCTTATTTAAAAAAATAAAATAAATTTAAAAAAAACAGAGAAAATATATTTCTTTGAATGAAACTGAGACTATCCAAACAAATATGAAACACAAAGAAATGCAGTAAACACATACAGAGGAGAAGCTAACAGAAATACCACCACTAAGTCTTCTGACATGTAGATCAAAGTTGAAGCATATCTAAATGTAAGGCCAGAGTTGTAATGACCCTGCCTTAATGTGAGAGCATCAGTGAGTCTTAATTAATGAGTCTTCCCAGACTACACTTGTAATAACAAATGCCTCTATTCTATTCTATTTTTTGGAATTTTAATCAGAAGCTTTAGAGGTAAAAATGAGGAGGAAAAGTGTTCACATTTTTAGCCCCTTAGTCTTCTATCTTGAGAGGAAAAAAATTAGAAAGAAAGAAAAGATGGGACAACAAATTTCAAAGCAAAAAATTCTTCTGTGTCAGTTCCTCAGTTCCATCTTGACTCCCAATTTCAATTTCAGAGGTGAATTTGTTCCACAATAAATAGTTGTACAGACCAGGAAAACCAATGAAGACAGCAAACCAAAGCAAAACACACACAGATTTTTATGAACACATAGCCAGTAATAAACACAGGCTCTTCATTCTTACACTACAATACATTACACTTCAAATATTTTATGTGGTCACTCTTTGTCTGCCAAACCAAAACCCAAGCATTTTCCACAGTCTTGCTAGAGCTGAGCTGTTGACAAGGCCAATACCTGCCAAGTGCAGTGACTTGAAACTTTTCATTAAACTGTTCAGATTTTGCTTTCAGCTGTGTTTGGTGAGAATATTAAACTGTAATTTTCACTTTGGACACTTTAATTGTGGAGCTCAGCTGCCATTTCTGCCTTTATCTACCAGATTCAATTTTTAACTCCTTACTTAGACTCACATGGTTGTGAGACATTGCAAACCCCTGCCTAAGAAAGTGGCAGTAACACAGAGCCTTGGCAATACCTGCAAGAGGTTGGCAACTCCGGGCTTTGCAGTACATTTGCACTTGGGGTATAAATCTCAAACCCAACCATGTCATACAGCAGTGACTGGACTTTGCAAATAAACAGCACTACAGGCAGCAGCTGTCCACAGCACAAATTACAGGAACACTCTATTGGCCAAGGTTCCAAGCCAGAAAAGGTTACAGCAACAACTCCCAGCTTTCCGCAGCAATTCTCTCTAGAGCAGCCCACAAACAACACAGCTACTGCTCCCTCAGGTCACACACTCAGAGCTGGCTGAAGCAGCTCAGGTCAGCTTAGACACAGGGGAAACCAGACCCCAACAGCAAAAACTCCAAGTTAACTCTGATCCTAAATTTTGGCTGGGAGATTTAAAAGCAGAATAACCATCCTAATTTTTTCATCTAAGGTAGTTTTAAGCACAAAAACCCTGAACACATCCCATTTTTGTACTGAGACTATTAAGGGCAGAAGCCAACAGATGCATACAGCAGCTTTTTAAAATTAAGTGCTTATGTTTCTAGAGGCCAAATACCTTGTCTGCAGAAAGCAAGCCTCAGAAAGAGTAAGTCTCTGATTTATTTTAATCAAACTGATTGAATAAATACCATAACACTGCCAGACAAATTCAAGAATAAGGAAAAGCACTAAATATTAGAGAGAAGCATCTACTGTGAGATTTAACTGTCTTTAAAATATTAAAAATAAAACTGAAGATTAATAATAACATTGAATACTAAGAATAACATTGAACATTAAGGATAAAATTTAATATTAAAAATAACACTTGCAGGACTACCAGAATACATGTTTGCCATTTAAAAAAGAACATTTTCAAAGGTGACTCTTAAGTCAGTACAGTAGCTATGGGTACGATTCAAGAATATTTTGTGGACTGGAAATGGACTCAGAGAGAGAAATATCAATAGTTCATTTCATAGTTGGTAAAACTTGTCCTCATTGTACAGTGAATATGCTTGGCTTATACAAGGGAGAAGAAAAGATTTATGATAAGCAGTATATGCTTTTAACACACTGGAAATAACATATATTGGATGAAAATAGTGGCAATCAGTCAAATTACCTACTCAAACACATGGGTAATCTATTTAATGTAGCTAAATAGAAAAAGGAATTACATGAACTGGGCAGCAGTCTCTGCAGTCTCCCAAAAATCTCCACCAGGTGCATATAGATGAAAATAATAAGGATTTCAGAGTTGGGGGAATGAGGACAGGAGGGATAAGGAGGACAACAGGGAAGAATGACAACACAGGACCAAGGAGAGATGAATCCCAGCTGGAGCTGCCTTCCCATAGCTGAGCACAGTCACCCTCAAGATCCCACCCAGCCACATTGGTGCTCCTCAGCCCTTGTCAAAGCTCCTCAGAAGCTGGAACGTTCCTGCAGCTTCAGAGCTTTGCGATGAGAATCCCAACTAACACATCCTGCCTTTGTATTTCTGGCTACTGAAACAACAGAGTACATTGAATATTAATATTCAATTTTATTCTTAGTTGCTTCTCAATTATTTCCTCATCTCCTACCATTCCCTGGACAGTGTTAGTGCCTCTTGTATTTATGATGTTCTCTCCTTTCTCCCTCCCTTCTCATTTCAAGTACTTGGCCTTCATGCTCCCTTGCTGTGCTCATTTATCCCAGCTCTCCAGTCCTGCTTCCCACTCTCCTCCTCTCCAGCTCCCTTTGCACAGAAGGCTCCGTTTGCTCCTTCATTTTTGTCCTCCCTGTCCCACACAGAGCAGTTCTCTACAGCTCTTTGAAGAAGAGCTGACAGTCTCTCTGTATCCAAGTATTTCCCTGCTGAAACCCTCCCCTGCAGTGGCAATGCCACCTCTGTCTCCCCCATGGGTTTTCTGGTCCATTTGTAAGAGACAAAAGTACAAACAGTAATGAACTGATACAGCTCAGAGAGGAAAAGGAAAAAAAAATTAAAGTAAACTTTAAAAAGCCCCTCACATGAAGCTGAAATTTGTTCTTTTTTTTCCATACTCAGTTCTGCTCTTTCAGCTGTAAATCATTACAAGGTCAGAACACTGCTACACAGTTTTCACATTGTTTTTTTGCAGCTTAGCAATATTTAATGTGAATTTCTCTATTAGTTCACAGTAACATGCATTTGCCCAAAACAGAAGTCTGCCAGTGTGCACACAGTCACACTTAAATCTATGATTAAGGGAGGTTTTGAGCAGGATTTTTCCACTGCTGTGCCTTTCAAAGCTCATGTTTCACTACCACAGGAATACAACAATGTAAACCAGAAATGTAACACGTGATTTTGATGTGCATTTAGCCCAACCAGAGCAGTTAATAAAATAGATCTGAAGCATATTTCATCACCTAACTGGAACCTTTGCCAACAGTGAAACTATAAAGTATGTGGACATGTTGTTATAGAAGTAGCTTGACAACAGAAAAGGAAAGAGAAAACATTTTTATTTCCCAATATTCATAAACTTATTTTTGTAACTAAAGAAGCTACATAAAAACTACTTTGAGACAATAATTTTGAAAAAGTTACAGTGAGGGGAAAAAGTAGTAAGTTACAGAAACAACAAAAGGAAAGAGCTCAATGCAACTCTTCCCAGAGTCCCACCAGGATAAAATTGTTTGAAATACGAAGTAAAACTGAATACATGGCCTGGTATCAGGCAGAAGTAAGATCTGATGTAACAGTCAAACAGCAGCTGCTGCCTTGTGAGACAGAGAGGCTCTGGTCACACAAGATTACACCTAAACACTGCTGAAAAATCTCTCCTTCAAGAATTCTTGCAGCTCTAAACTCAGATTATTTTTTTAAGTCAACACAATTCAAAAGAAATAAAATCCAAATTCTGATACAAAGTTTAATTAGAAAAAAACCTCCAGAAGCCTTTATTTTAAATCACACCATAGAACCTGAAGAGCACATTCTAAAATTAACTCAACAGCTTAACTAAGCAATGTGTTTAACAAACCCAGTTACATCTCAAACACTGTAAGATTTTATTTCCAGTGTACACTAATTAGGATCAATTTAAAGAGCAAAAAGTTAATTCTATGACTTCCATACTCCCTCCTCCCCACCAAGTTCCTGAATGCCCAAATACATAAATCCCCAAATATCAGACAAGTAGCTTCCAAGCAAGATAAACTCAGAAGTGTTTTCAGTGGAATGATAACAATTCCTACACAGCAACTAATCCCCTCTGGAAAAATGGCAACTTTACCAAATCAGCTATTGTGCTCAGAAGCCCAAGCAGGGAGCCAGATAAACATTAGGGCTACAAAACTGACATGAATTTGACAGAATTCAGTGCAGCAGAAAACCGAACACACAAAATGCAATTCATGTAAAAAGAACACCTAATTCAACACTAAATCACTTCATTATCAATTTTTCTCCCTCTTGAAATCCTACTTTCAGCTTGAGATACAAAAGGTAACAACACTGTTTACCAAGAAGAAACGTATTTATCCATGAAAAAGAATCAAGAATATT